TAGGGAAGGCTTCTGGAAGAAGTGGGACAGAACATTCCAGAGTTGTGATTTATCATACGCCCATTGATGTCTTTTCTGACAATTCATATTCCTTATCTATTTTAAAATTTAGTTTAAATCTCATCAAAAATAAAGAAAATTCCCTTGGCTAAATTCATCTCTCTAATTCCTTGGCACCTGTCCTACATTTACATAATCATTTACTTATGTACATGGTGTGCGAGTAAATGTTTAACAAACTACACTTACAAAAGCCAGTCCTGATTTGTAGCTTTTGCCAATTTCTCCAGTGTAAATACTCTCACCATAACCAATCACAAGCTATCAATGATTTACAACACTCTTGAAGTTTAAACAAAAGACCTCAGCACATCATTGTGAACAATAATCTATTTGCACTTGAGAGCAAGGATAATGCTATCATTTCTGTATATCCCAACTATACCCAGTGCAGCACAAAGCAGGAACTCTCAATGTTAGTGACTTATACATATGTATTCAGAGATAAATTGCTAGTATATATTGCTGAAACCAAATGAAATGACCTCCAAGGTCTTCTGGGCAATAAAATTCTATTATCCTAAGATACTATAAAATCCCTGTCATAGTTGTGTACTTTCTAGATTTCATAAACTTCTTAAAAGACAATAATAGCTATTAGAGAGGCCCTGTAGCATAGTTTTTGGTCTTAGAACCAGGAGCAGGGAGAGAGAACATTCATTTATGGAGCACTTCTAATGTGCCAAGAACTATTACTTACTAATCTCATTTAATGCTCATGACAACTTTCTTTTTATATTATTTCTACTTTGCTGATGATTTCTAAAGTTCTCCTTATTATGTTGCTGCTTTACTATGATAATTTCTTGAGTCCCTCTAAAATTCTGTTCTTAGTTTTATATTTCAGAAATACTACTGTAACAAAACATTGTGGTGTGCTGTAAAGAGCATGGGCTTTGGAATTAGATAGAGTTACAAATCCCAGCTCTGTTATTTGTTAGCTAGGTAGTGCATTTGGCAAACTTCTTAAGACCTCCGAACTTCATTTAAAAACCTCTAAAGTGAGAAGGCTGATACTCATCTCATTGGGTATCAGAGGTATGGAAGGAGAAAATGTATCAAACATGTCTAATGCAGGGGCTGGTTCAAAAAATTGTTACTTTCTCTTGTTTTTCAACCGTCACAAAGCTTTTGTAAAACAAGCTTTTGGAGAGATATGTTCTATTTTTAATTCTATGCAAAGTTTTAATAATGTCTTTGAGATACTCTCATTACCTGAGTTCCATTTCAGTTTCTAGGCTTTCAATCTGCTTTGTAATAGAATCCTCTGACTCTGAAACTTGACCATGTAGCTCAGCAAGTGAGAATGTGCGCCTCTGTAAAGAATAATGGGAACAAGGGTGAAGTACTAAAAGGAACCAAAGCAATGAGGATTTCTGGAGAATGCAGACAGATTCTGATTATTGGTAACATTTTTTGTAAGGGCACTTACCCGGAGTTTAGGAGGTGGATTCTCCCCAGACTCCCTTTTTTCTTTGAGTTGAGCTAGATCTTGAGCCAGGATCTTTCTGTCTTCAAGAAGGTCATTCAGATGGCGTTTGGCTTCCTCAGTACTAACCATAACCTCAATTTCATTTCCAAGCCAATTCTAGAAGAGAATCAGGTAATGTCTGGTTTAGGGATGAAGAATCATTGGGCCATAAGCTAGATTCAGCTCCATGCTTAATTTCATTTGGACCAGGGCCCAAGTAATTAGAAGCAAGTTTTCCATTTGTATCCACACTTAGTAAAAACAACACTTTTCAGAGTTTAACAGAGATAGCCTAAAAAGTTTCAAGAAAGATAATTTTTCCAGAAAAATCTTTCTCCAGATATACTAGCATTTCTACATGCCCTGTCTTTACTTTCTCCATTTTCCTTTTAACATTTGTTGTTTGCTCTTAACTAATCATGTAGAATTGAAGATGATTTGTACTCTCTATTCTATTTAATAAACAGATTTAAAAAAAATGCTATTGGGAATGTGTGCTCACTGGAGATAGAGAGAGGGAAAGTGATAAAGCACCCTCTGGGGGGAATGGCCACACCATAACCCTTCTCTTCCATTCTCTCGGAATTTTTGGGGGGGCATGCACGCACATGTGCCCAGTGCGTTTTTCTTTCTCTTTTTTTGAAAAAAATTATTTATTTAATTTTATTTATTATCATCATTATTATATTTTTTTAGTTTGACAGAGAGACAGAGAGAGAGAGAAAGTGAAGAATGCGAGCTGCCAGGTCTGGGACTTGAACTACAGTCAGCCACATGGGAGTCCAGCACCTTAACTGCACACCACCTGCTGGCCCCATTCACTGTGTTTTTCAAATTATTGGGTCCTGGACTTGAATTGTACAGTCAGCCATGTCGGATCCAGCACCTTAGTCACCATGTCACCTCCTGGCCCTATATTCTTTTTTAAAAAATTTATTCATTAAATCCATGGTGAGAGAAAGCCACCACTAACCGGGTCTTAATGCCACAATCCATTCCAAGTCTCATTCAGTCACAGATCATGAGAGTGCATGTGCCAGTGTGTTCAGGGAGGTCTCCAGGTGCAAATCAGGAACTCTCATGTGGGTCAGAGTACCATGTTTGACTGCTGTGCTACCCCCTGTCCCCTAGATATCCATTATAATCTTTAAAGTAGAAGAATGAGATTTTTAAAAAAGAAAACAATTTACTAAATTCACTTTTTAAAACAGAAACCATCCTTGAGACATTACTGCTTTTGAGGAAGATAAAGCATACTAATAGTAATCTGGGACCAGCAGGTGGCATGTGGGGTTAAGGTGCTGGACACTCCCACATGGCTGACCAGGGTTCAAGTCCTGAATCTGGTGGCTTGCTTTCTCACTTCCTTTCTCTCTCACTCTCACCCTCTGTCTCTCTCTGATCAAATTAAAAAATAAATGAATGAATAAATAAAATAAAAAATAAAAAATTAGAAAAGGCATACTGATAGTAATCAATAGATGGCTAAAGAGGTTATATTAATTAATATCAGATAAAGTAGATTTTTACTGGAAAATACTACTTGGTATAAAAAAGATCATTTCACCATGATAAAGGATTTAAATGTTTAAGAACATAATTCTTAATTTTTTTTAATTGCCAGTGGGTGCATGTGCTCATCAGAGAGAGGTCATGCCACAATCCTCTCTCCTACATTTCTCTATCCTGTTGAGATTTGGGGACACATGCAGACATACCCAGTGTGTCCCCCCCCCTTATTTTTAATTTGTGGGGCCAGCAGATGTCATGGAGATTAAGGCACTGGATCACACATGGCCAACTCCACAGATTAAGTCCTGGACACTGACTTGAAAATCATGCCAGGCGTGTGTGTATGCACGCTCAAGATCCCTACAGCAGAATAGAGGAGAAGGGATTGTGGTGTGGCTATATCCCCTGGGAGGTGATTTCTCATTCCCCTCAATCTCTATTTCTCTCTGAGAAAAACATGCTTCCTATAGCAGAAAATTTTTAAAAAGTTGCTAGAGTATGTGTGCTTGCTAGATAGAGACAAAGAGAGAGAGAAAGAAAGAAAGAAAGTGAGAAAGCATCCTCTATGGGGGATGGTCACACTATGATCCCTTTTCTATTTCTCCTTTTTGGATTTTGGGCACACATGCACACATGCCTGGAGTGTTTTTCAAGCTGCTGGATCTGGGACTTGAACCACGCAGTTGGCCATGTGGGATGCAGTTGCCTTAACCACCATGCTACCAGGTGGCACCCTCATGTTTTATAAGTTACCAGGGCTAGGATTTAAACTACAGAGAGCCATGTGGGATCTGGCTCCCTTAACCTCTAGGCTATTGGGCTGGCCTAATCCTTAATTTTTATGTCCTTAGTAATAGAGCACTAAATATAACACTAAAAATCATGAAACAAATATATATATATGAACAGAGAAGATAATATGAAATCATAAAAATATTCCATTGATCTAAAAGAAGCCAGAAAATAAAAAAGAAAAGGAATACAGATGCGACAAATAGAAAACAAATAGCAAGGGCTTGCTCCTGGTGCAGCAGGTAATGAGCTGCTCAAGAGAAGCTGTACCCCACACGGTGACTGTGGTTTGAATCTCTAACCCGGTCAGCCTGAAACACACTGGATACTTGCGTGAGTGCCCAAGATCTGATGGGCTGGAGGATTGGAGGAAGGAGATCACAGAGCAACCAGACTCTGTGGAAAGTACTTCTCTCTCTCTGCCTCCTTCTCTATCACATCTTTGGGCATGTGCTCTATCATGAATTTTTAAAAAAGAAAGAAAATAAATATAATGATGATAGGCTCAAACTTTCTTTTTTTAGTTATAGGGTTTGTCCACTAGCTAGAGAGAGACAGACAGAGGGAGGTGGGGAAAGTGAGAAATTACCCCTTAACAGGGGATGGCCATGCTGTAATCCCTTTCCTCTATACTCCTCTTGGGATTTTTGGGCATGCACGTACATGCGCCCAGCATATTTTTTAAGTTACCAGGTCCAGGACTCAAACTGTGCAGTCAGCAATATGGGATCTAGAGCCTTAACCAACATGTCACCTGCTGGCCCAGGCTCAAGCGTAACCATATGAATAATCATATTAATCGTATGGGAAGTCTTCAAAAATTAATGAAAAATGTGTATAATGAAGACACTATGCATAGATTTCAATTTTTTTGGTACTGAAATAAACTCATACTTTAATTCCATTTTTCCACAAACTTTTTGAAATCCCCCTATTAATGGTCTAAACACCCCAATTAAAATGCACAAAATTTTCAGAATGGATTTGAAAAGCTAGACTCACATGCTACCTTTAAGAAACACACTTTTAAAAAAAAGCATAATAAGTTAAAATTAAAAGGTTCAAAAAAGCATGCTAACACTAATCAAAAGAATGCTGGAGGTGCTATATTAATATCAGAAGAATAGGGGTCAATAGGTGGTATGGTGGTTATGGTGCTGGATCCCACATGGCCAACCCTGTGGTTTAAGTCCTGGACCCAACTTGAAATTCATACAGTGTGCATGAACATGCATACTCAAAGTTCCAGAGGAAAGGGACCAGCAGTTAGTGTAATGGCTATGTCGCTGGACTCCCACGTAGTCTACCGTGGTTCGCGTCCTGGACCCAGTGGCTTAAAACTCACGCCAGGCGCGTGTGCTTGCATGCCCAAGATCCCGAGAGGAGAATGGAGGAGAGGGGATTGCGGTGTGGCCATCCCCCCTGGGGGGGTGATTTCTCGCTTTCTGTCTCCCTGTTTCTCTCTGTCTGTCTGGTGAGCGCACATGCCCTATTGCAAAAAAAACTCTCAAAAAAAAAATTCCAGAGGAAAATGAAAGAGAAGGGATTGTGGTGTGGCCATTCCCCATTGGGGGTGATTTCTCACTTTCTCTATCTCTGGGTCTTTCTCTGGCATGTGCCAAAATCTAAAAAAAAAAAAAAAAAAGAAAAAAAAGAAAAAAAAAAAAGATTTTAGAACAAAGAATGTTACCAGGAATAAAGAAGATAATTTTATAACAAAAGGGTCAATTAATTCTAGATGTTTATGTCTTTAAAATATATGATGCAAGAACAGAACTGAAAGGAAAAATAAACAAATCTACAATTATAGTTGGAAAGTTTAAAACCCATCTTTCAATAATTGATAGGACAGAGAATCAGCAATGTTACAGTAGAAATGACTAGCACAACCAATCAAATCAGCACGATTGACATTTACAGAATACTCTATCCAATAACAGCAGAATGCCCATTCTTCTCAAGTTAACAGAACATTTACCTATACTGACCATATTCTGAGCCATAAAAAATAAGACTCAAAAAGTTCAAGCATTCAAGTCATACAAATTATGTTCTCTGACTATGATGGAATTAAACTGGAAATCAATAACAAAAAGATATTTGAAAATTATTCCTCAATATTTTGGAAACTAAATAACATACTTCTAAATAAGCCAAAAGTCAAAGACAAAACCAACAGGGGAATTAAAATGTATTTTTAATTGAATTCAGGGACCAGCAGTTAGCGTAATGGCTATGTCGCTGGACTCCCATGTAGTTGACCGCGGTTCGTGTCCCGGACCTGGTGGCTTAAAACTCATGCCAGGCACGTGTGCATGCGTGCCCAGGATCCCGAGAGGAGAATGGAGAAGGGATTGCGGTGTGGCCATCCCCCCGGGGGGGGATATCTCAGTCTCTCTCTGTCTGTTTGGCGAGCGCACGTGCCCTATAGCAAAAATCTCTCTCTCAAAAAAAAGAGCAAATTAAATGCAAAGTAAGCAGAAGTAAGGAAATAATAAAGATCAGAGTGGAAATTAAAGAACTTTTTTCTTAAAAAATTCTTTCATTGTAGTATAATAAAAATAACATAAAATTTACCATTTTAACCATTTATAAGAACGGTTAAACCTCTGACTAAACTGATGGGGAAAAAGGAGAAAACAAACAAAATATAAATGACAAGAATGAGACAGATGACATCACTACATTTTATAGAAATTAGGAGGATAATAAGGTAACATGGTAAACAATTTTATGCCAACAAAATTTAATGGCTCAGATAAAATGGACAAGTTTCCTGAAACAAGCTACCAACACTCACTCAAGAATAAACA